TTTTTTGGTTTTTTTTCTTCTCTCTTTTCATTCCATCTCACTTGTCATACCTATTATTACCTTTAGTAACATCATTGCATAAAAAAGCCGTAAGGATTACAATGACACAAGACTGACCAGCAAGTAAAAAAAAAATAAATCAAAATCAAAACAAGAAATTGAGGACCAAAAAATTTAGGGTTTATCCTCAATTATAGAAGCTAGACCAGTCACTAACTTCACTCCCCTGTTAAGGTTCTTAGGCCTAATCTTCAATGGCTCCCATTTTCTCGTCAATGGCCTCTTTGCCCCATCATCTCCTTCACAAGGGCTGTTACCATCAGAAAAAACAAACACGAATTCATCACCGTTACAAATATTCGAGCCGAGCCGAGTGAAACTCGAGAGCCATTTAGCCTTCACGTAACCGGCCTTACGCCATGGTGGCACGGGCATGCATCTCTTCTTAAGGCTCTGTTTGGCAGCTTCGGACACAACAGTTACAATTTTCTCGAGTCGATCAGCTTTCCCTACGAATATGTTGGGCAGAGTTTGGAGGACCTGCCGGTACGCCTTGGTGGGCCTCGCGATTTCGAACCCCGATCGGAAATCGACGTCGATTATCAACCGTTCGCCTTCGATTGTTGCATCCACATATTCATATTCTCCTATGACAATTAACACAATTCAATTATCAACCACTAGTAAAAGTTAAAAGGAAGGCCTGCATTTGGGCAGAAACTAATCCAGCAAAGATGACAAACTTACCAGCAATAAAAGAGGGGGTTTTCTCCCATTTTGATCTGCAGATTGAAGCTTTGTACCCAAGAGCAATTAGGCCATCTACCACAATTTTTCTGCACAATTCGTCTTTTTGCTTACCGATTTTGTTTCTATTAACGATTTTCGCAGTGTCGGCTAGCAGATTCTTTTCACAGGCGCTTGAGCAGGGGACCAGACTCTGCATACAATTCATTCAGGAAAAAAAAAAAAAAAGTTACATATACTTAAGCACAGTGTAAATTATGGACCACAAAATCAAAGATTGAATGAAAATCTACCTTGAGAACGTCGAATGCGTGGCCAGAAGAACAACTGCACGGTTCTGAACAATTGTGAGGATCCTCATCGGAGCTATCTGTGCAGCTCCCATTGAAGCAATTGCATTTTTTCCTCCCACACCTCTGCTTATCGTTGGTCTCCTCGATAAAATTCTGAACCATTCTTGCCAGGCGAACCGAGCTAGGCTCCAACTCTTCCGAGCAGTCCTTGCTCCATTTATGAGGCGCCGGAGGCTTATCCTGGGCCGATGCTCTCAACACGCCGGAAAATGGTCTCTCAAAAAGCCGCCTGAATTTCAACTTCAGCATTGGTTTTGCCTGAGGCTCGACCACCGGGTTGAAATCGATGGGCTGGATCTTCATGGGGTAAGGCATGGAGTATGATCAACGAGATTTCAAAGGGGCTGATTTTTTTCGGGAGATTTTAATCAATTTCCGGCTACCATTTTCAGGCGAACGCCTATCGATCGGCAGAAATTCACAAAGTTTGAAAAATCTCAACAATCAGAAGCCTTCATCTCGTGGATTAACCGCAATCGACGTTTTAACAATCACGTCAAATGATCCAATTTCGACACACAAAGCATCGAATAACTTCTAAACTCCGCCACGCAAACACTTACAATTAGCTTCGAACGGGGACAAAACGGGGACTTGTTAGCATGACGTCAGTTTTCCGGCGACGTGCAGACCGGCGATCGAACGCCGAACAAAAAGCATAAACGAATTTTCGTGAAGAATATCAATCGGAGACGCTGGAGGTGAGATTTACACGCACAGTGTGAGTGAGAGAGAATGGGGGAGTTTCTTTTGGCGTAAGTGATGGTTTTGTTTTTTTCAGTACTCTTCTCTCAGTGTGGTGTGGAACTGTGTGAAGTGTTGGAGAACGATTTAAAAAGGAAGTTTTTTATTGCTGACTAGGACGGATAGCGCCACGCTGGCATTACACGTGGCAGTTGAGGCGGAAGGGCGATTGGCTACGTGTCAGGAGATTAGCGAGGTTGGGCTCGCGATCGCGACCACGAGTAGCCACGTAGTTAACTTCACTTCCGAAATCACCCTTGCACGTCCCATGAAATTACGTGGTGCTTCGCAGTCTTTGCCACGAAGTATTTTTCACTGCCTCACACGTGCGGACGCGCGGTTTATCCGCACTGTGGAGTGGAATATGCCAAAACCCGAGCGTGTGCTCCAAATTTTAATTTGCTCCCTGGTTATTTTAAATATTAATAACTAGTTAAAATGGAGGGTTTTTTTTATTATTTATTATAAATATAATACATGTTAAAAATAGATATAATTTTTCCCCCAGTCTTTTAATTAATAAACAGTAACATATTAAAAATAGACTGTAATTTTTCCGCATTCATTTGGTCTATATAACTAGAAGTGCTACAATGTTCGTCGCCTATTATATGAGACTTGCTCCTCTGATTTTATAATATATTTTATAACTCATACTTGAAAGATAGATTTAATTAATAATTGTGATGTTGTTGTTAGTATTAGCCCGTGACGAATCGGTTGTGATCCGGTCGTCATTGTCATATAAGGAGGACCGATAAGCACCTGGGCAGTTAGGCAGCTAGGTACTCTATCTAACTTCACAGTGTTATTATGCTACCCCCAAATACGCGACATCTTCAAGTGTGCGGCACCCCAGGTGCGCGACACCCCCCAGTGCGCGGCACCCTAAGTGCGCGACACCCTCGTGTGCGCGGCACCCCCAAGTGCGCGGCACCCTCGTGTGCTCGGTGTCCTCAAGTGCGCGGCACCCTCAAGTGTGCGGCACCCTCGTGTACTCAAGTCATAAAGAGGTTCACAACTTCAGGGACTCTATGGATGTATA